CCAAGCCCCCCCCCCCCGACAAACCCCATTACAGTCACTGTCCATCAGTGTAGTAAGATGCTGTAGAGTCACTACTTGTCTTTGTGTTGCACAGCCCTCCTCGTGCACCTCCCCACATCACACATGCTAATCATAATGCCCCCTTTCTTCCCACTCCCCTTATCCCTCCCTTCCCACCCATTCTCCCCAGTCCCTTTCCCTTTGTTAACTGTTAGTCCATTCTTGGGTTCTGTAATTCTGCTGCTGTTTTCCTTCAGTTTTCTTTGTTATACTCCACAGGTGAGTGAAATCATTTGGTACTTGTTTTTCTCCACCTAGCTTATTTCACTGAGCATAATACCCTCTGGCTCTATCCATGTTGTTCCAAATGGTAGGATTTGTTTTCTTCTTCTGGCTGAATAATACTCCATTGTGTATATGTACCACATCTTTATCCATTCATCTACTGATGGACACTTAGGTTGCTTCCATTTCTTGGCTATTGTAAGTAGTGCTGTGATAAACATAGGGGTGCATATGTCTTTTTCAAACTGGGCTGTTGCATTCTTAGGGTAAATTCCTAGAAGTGGGATTCCTGGGTCAAATGGTATTTCTATTTTGAGCTCATTGAGGAACATCCATATTGCTTTCCACAATGGTTGAACTAATTTACATTCCCACCAGCAGTGTAGGAGGGTTCCCCTTTCTCCACAACCTCACCAACATTTGTTGTTCTTTGTCTTTTGGATAGTGGGGTTCCTTACTGGTGTGAGGTGATATCTCATTGTGGTTTTAATTAGCATTTCTCTGATGACTAGTGATGTGGAGCATCTTTTCATGTGTGTTGGCCATTTGAATTTCTTTGGAGAACTGTTCAGCTCCTCTGCCCATTTTACCTATCATCCATCCATCCATCCATCCATCTATCTATCTATCTATCTATCTATCTATCTATCTATCTATCTATCATCTATCTCATCTAATCTATCTCATCTATCATCTATCCATCTAATCTATCCATCCATTTATTTATTTTGTTATCATTAATCTATAATTACATGAAGAACATTATGTTTACTAGGCTGCCCCCTTCACTAAGTCCCCTGCACAAACCCCATCACAGTCACTGTCCATCAGTGTAGTAAGATGTTGTAGAATCACTACTTGTCTTCTCTGTGTTGCACAGCCCTCCCCATGCCTTCCCCCACATTATACAAGCTAATCGTAATGCCCCCTTTCTTCTTCCCTGCCCTTATCCCTCTCCTCTGTCCATTTTTTAATTGGATTATTTGCTTTTTGTTTGTTGAGGTGTGTGAGCTCTTTATATGTTTTGAATGTCAACCCCTTATCGAATCTGTCATTTATGAAGCTATTCTCCCATACTGTTGGATGCCTTTTTGTTCTATTGGTGGTGCCCTTTGCTGTACAGAAGCTTTTCAGCTTGATATAGTCCCACTTGTTGCTTTTGTTTCCCTTGCCTGGGTAGGTGTGTTCATGAATTAAGTCGCTCATGTTTATGTCCAAGAGATTTTTGCCTATGTTTTTTTCTAAGAGTTTTATGGTTTCATGACTTACATTCAGGTCTTTGATCCATTTTGAATTTACTTTTGTGTATGGGGTTAGAGGGTATGTTAAATTTTAAGGGAATATGAAAACTCAAGTGATGGAGTGATTTCTTCATTTGGCATTATTCACATAAGATTCATTTTAATCTCAAATTACATGTTCAAACGTCCTATATAGCTTTTATAGGCTATGGCTATTTCATACAGTCTTTGAGATACTTATCATAATGTCTACCATGAAAATGGGTGAGACTTACATATGAGAAGACTTTGATCTCGTAGTTCAAAGGTGAACTTGTGTCTGAACCTTGTCTGTCTTCTGGGACAAGCTCTCAGTGGTGCTCTGCGTAGGTGGAGTTGGACATAAGGGGTAGGGGATGTGTTCTGAAAGTGGCCCTGGCTTATATTACCAGTACCTCCTAATTAGGAAGTTCAGTGACAACTTAAGGCCCAACCCATATCCCTCCCTCCCTTCCTCCCTCCCTTCCTTCCTCCCTCCCATCCAGTTCCCAGCTGTCAGCTGCTGTGCCAGGAACTGCTGTAGGCTGTGCAGATACAGCCCTGACAAAAAGTTCCTACCCATAGGCATCTTTGTTCTAGGGATTTGTCTGGTGGAGATTTGGCAGTGATTGGTATTTTCCCCTATCCTGAACTCCTCTGGGATCCTGTTCACGCCTATTTCTTGACATACTTCTCAGTCTTTTTCCTCTGTCCCTTAAATGTGTTCCCCAGGGTAGAGTCCTTAGGCCTTCTAAGCACATCTGGTTAATTAACCACTAGATAGGTCAGAGACCTCTATCTTTCAGCTCTTTGCTGACTTCAGATCCAAATTTCAAGCTGTGTCAGTGGATATCTTTTTCTGAAGGTTCCACTGGCCTCAAACTCCAAATGCTTAAGAGTGGAGCCCTGCCTTCTCCCCCACCCCCATATATTCTCTTATTTGAAAGCACCTATCTGAGCCTTCATAGATTCTTTATTCTTTGATTCCTGCTCCATCTGTAACCACTCAGTACGTGTCTCATCTAGTCTGTTTCTAAATGGTACCTCATCTTGTCATGCCCTGCATTCACGTTGTTAGAACCCTGATTTGGCTTTTTGTTTTGATGGTTTAGTATCCTGCCTCTTTTCCTCTGAGCAATTATACTTGCCACCACCAGAATTCTCTATCAAATCTGGGCACTTGATCCTCTGCTGAAAAACTCTGGCATCCTAATGCTCTGAAAACCTATGAATCAAATTCAAGTCAAGTTGCTTACACGCAACCAGGGAGTGCCCTGCTGTAACATGCCCTACCTTCTGGCATCTTTGCCTAAAGAAGAGCACCCTTGACTACAGCCACAGGAAAAGTTCTTTGATGTTATGATGATGCTGTGGTTTTTCACATCCCTTTGGCTATACCTGCAGTTAGCTCCTGTCCTTTTATCTCTTCTGTGAATTTAAGACTAGGCTAAAATTTAGCTACTTTACCTGGAGCCACTCTTTGGGCATATGTAGGTGATGGAGATAGTAAATGTAGAAAACAGGATAAATGGTTTAATGACCAAAGAACATGAATATCAACCATTAAAAATGAAACGGGTTAAATTCAGAGATCAAACTTAAAGGTTGGTAGAAAGCAATGGTGATGTTCTAAAATACAAATAGTACTTGACTACTACATTGTAAATCACAAATTCTTTAAATCTACCCAGTATAGAAGATGTTTACCCAGACCAAAAATGTAAAATTCTATCAAGTAGTTGGTGGTTTTTTTCTTCTGGATTAAAACAGTAGGAGAGTATCCTGGGATGCTAGCCATGGTTTATTTTTTTTTTTAAGGCACAGCTTGACATATTTCATCTGGAAAGAGATGGAGCCTAGTAGGACATAGATAGGATAAGTCAGATAAGATGAGTCAGGCCTTCTGTAGTTAAGGCACCTTAGGGCCAGAGCCCTTACACACGTTTAATGTCAGCAGGAATGAAAAACTCCAGGCCTTTTTCTCCCATCACCCAGTGCATTCCCAATGATACATACTCATCTGAGAAAGCTTGCATTTTGAAAGAGTAAAGTTTTTTTGTTGTTGAATATTTCGTCCCACTTACAGAGTTAATGCTGTGGTTTTTAAAAGTTGAAATAGAAAAAACATACTGCAGTGTTACAGGCCCTAAACACATAGGCTTTTAAAGTTTCAGGTCTTCTGAAGCCTCAACGATTCAAAATAAATGTCAACCCTTAGTTGTAATAATGTTCTTTAGCTTCACTACTGCCTCTATCTATGTGACCTCGGACAAGTTATCCTCTACAGATTCCTGAAAATTGGATAATAGGACTGTTCGGAGAATTAAGTGAGTTGATACATGTAACTACAATACTGCCTGACACTTAGCTCAGAATCTTACTTCATTTATTTATTTGCTGTTTGCCTGTCCATCTGACTTCCAGTACGAGAAGACTTGACTGATCCATAACTAATTGAAGTTTATCTCATAAACAAAAGCAAATATTTAAAATTTGGGGGAGGTGCAAACTAATGAGACACAAACATCAGGGATATGAGGATAACAGAGTAATTGGAAAATGCACTCTTAAATCTAATCACTAACAAAATATCCTAGCCATTTTGAAATTACATTCCTAAATCTATTTAAAAGCAGGATCTTAACAGAACATAGAAGGTGTGCTTATCGTTAGTCTCTATAAAATTCAGTTAATTTTGTAGACAATGCATTCTAAAGTTCATAACCCCTGACACCAAATCTGAGGCAGATAAAGTTAGTCTAAGTCTACTCTTGTTTTTGAATGTATAGACAAAACACTTTTTTTAAGCCAGTGGCATGTTGAAAGAATATACAGAGCATTTTCTGGAAATACAGTTAA